TGTCTGACTTGCACAACACCTACTTTGTGTCAGGTATGTTCGAATGGATTTTCTCTTGTTAATGGAAGTTGTGTTTCACTTTCAAATTGTTTGGTGTCAACGCCAAATGGATGTACTGCGTGTAATAATAGTTATTATCTTCTTCTTGGGTCGTGCAAAATGTTAAGTGAAATTCACTGCAAATCCGTTGTTATCACAGCAAACAATGAGGTACAGTGTTCATTATGTGAAAATGAATACATTTTGAGTGACACACAATGTAATGATATGTCTACCGGGCATTGCCAAAGTGTCGACTTATCAACTTCAAAATGTGCAATTTGTGAAGAGAAGTACAAATTTGATGATAACAAAAAAATGTGTATCAATGGAAACGACTCTATGCTCATATTCATCATCGGGCGATTGCCTTCAATGTGATTCACAAATCTCACTTGGAACGTCCAATGAAGGTGAATCAATTTGTAACACTGAAATAAAGACAATTTATTGCAAAGAAAATAGCAACACGGGGTGTGCCAAGTGCTCTGATGGGTATTATCTTAGTGGTACTGAATGTCTTCCATGTGACAAGAAGTGCTCAAGTTGTTTTAAAAACGCAGAGAGTTGTTTTACTTGTGCTTTTGGGTATTATTTTGACACGACAAACAACGACTGTATTTATGTTGGTGAACTTGCTGAAAAGTGCAAATTGTTCTTACCAAGTGGTGTCGATTGTGCTGCATGCAACGAGGGCTATATCCTCATCAATACAGATTGTGTAAAATGTGACGAAAAGTGTCTGAGTTGTGTTGGAAACATTTCGAATTGTGTGAAGTGCAATGTAAAAGGTGGGTATTTCGAAGATGTCGAATTTACAACAATAGAAGATAAGAAATGTGTCACAATAACAACACTTGAAAATTGTGAATGGGTTTCAGAATATGGGTGTGCTGTGTGTTACGATGGGTATATTCAAAACAAATATTACAAATGCACAAAATGCAATGACTTATGTGCGACATGTTCAAACAATAACACATGTTCGACATGTGTAGATCAATCCGTTTTGATATCAAAAACGTCGCAATGTGTCAAATGGAATTCGATTGCAAATTGTAAGTCATATGATTTTAAAACCCACCAATGCAGTGAATGTGGTGGAAGCAACAAAGTTGGACCAAATGGAGACGAGTGTGTCCACAAGACAAATGTACTCTCAATTATACTTCCAATCATCTTTTGTATTTTAATAGTTGTTATTATCATCATAACAATAAGTTGTATACTTTTCTACATTCATTACAGGAAAGAAGAGAAGTTGAGGAAGTCACTTGTGAATGAATTTCTGTTAAAGGATTTGAAAAAGAAAGGGGTTGAGATGGTTTATCTTGGTACTCAAAAAGAACGCATTTTGTGTTTAACACAAGAAATACATTTTGAAGGCGAAATTGCAGTTCAAAAAGACAGTGACTGTAAATTCATGATTGGCAACGACAGAGCGTCTTTATTGAAAATTCAATTCACAACACAAAATGACGAAGAAAAGTTTGAGTTGAATGTTGAACCTTCCACTCCAGTAAGTATCAAGAAAGGTCGTGCTGTTGAATTTACTGTTACTATTCATCCACTGTGTACACCTGAGAAGACTGTTGACATCACTTGTTCAGTCTTAAACATCAACAAAGGCAAAATTTCAGAGATTAAAATTCCAGTCAAATTTGCGTCAGAAATGTCGACAGCACTTGACCCGGACGAGTTGAAGAAAAAGCGAAAACTTGGAGAAGGAAGTTTTGGGATTGTGTACAAAGGAGCATATCGAGGAAATGTTGTTGCCATCAAAGAGATGAAGGAAATGGTTGTCGCAAAATTAGGAGCAAAAGGGTTTACAAAGAATTCGACTGTTGAAAGTTCAAGTCGTAATTTGGCAAAGAACACAACAAAAAGTACGACGAAAAATAACACGACTAACAACTCTTCGATGACAACAAGAGACAAAACAGCTGCTGAGAAACAGATGGATAAGAAGATGGACGAGTTTAGAAAGGAAGTTGCGATGTTGGCCAAATTTGTGAGTCCATATCTCATAAGATTCTATGGAGCGTG